CGAGATCTTCCCGCCACAGGTCATGCTAATAGTGAGGAATGAAGGTAAACGATTCTAGAGCGTTCACGTTCATCCTTGTGTTTAGCCGAAGTCGCCGAAGTACAGAAATTGACTAGGCGCGGGGGCGGGGACGACGCCGACGAGCTACTGCAGGTGCGGACGGGAGGCCACTGAGAACGGGGCTCGGACTCGTCATCGGGTTCCCCGAACCGTCACCTTCGCTGCCCCGCGGCCCCGCCTCGCCTCGTCCCGCCTCGGCCTCGCCAGCCAGGTTGGCAAATGTGCCTGTCTTCCTTGAGCGGGAAGGGAGGGGCAGTGGGCAGGGGTGGGTCAGAGAGAGGAGGGCAGTGTGTGTGTGTGTGTGTATGTGTGTGTGTCTGAGGTGTTTTTGTCGTGTGTTGTGTGTATCTGTGTGTGTGAAGAAGGGTTCAAGTCAAATGTTCCGCGAGATTCGAGAAAAGGGGGAAAACAACGAGTTAATCTTAATTACCCTAATTTTAAATCGCGTGAGAAGAACACGGAATATGTCTTATGGAGGGTTGCATATTAGTCAACACGGTAAGAAACGTTTTTTTGTTTCAAAACCCAGTCTTTTCATCTTATGGAGAACGCCAATGCCATCCAAGACCAGGTCTTGGATGCCAGGAAACTATCTTTGAATTGCCTACCAATATAAATGAAGAAACCCTTGTTTCAAGCAAGAAAGAGATAGACAATTAATTTTGTAATTTATTGCCTCCAAAAAGATAAATAACTTTTGACAGGGTGTAACTTTGAGGGTAGAGAGCGACATTCGAGCGTTCGAAGAAGCGTTTCGTCATTCTTCGAACAGCAACCAGGGGCACCGGCGGGGTCACTCACTGAGAAATACGGATCCTGAGAAAACAGTCGGCTGGGCGGAGAGGAAGGGTGGAGGTGGGAGCTTGATCGGACTGTACAGGGGCGGGTGGTGGCGTCTGCCAAAAGAGCGCGTTTAGATTTCATAACGGCCGACCCCTTCCTCTCCCCTCCCCTCCTCCCCGACGTAATAAAGCAGACACAACTACTCAGGGCTGTCGTCCTCCCGCTCGCCCCCCCCCCCCCCCCCGCCACACACACCGCAACCGAATTACAGGAGTCCGCACTCGCAGAGAAGCAATTCTGCTCGTCCACACGCTTATGCATCATCCAGAAAGTACATACGTCCGTCATTCGCCGTTACGAAACCGCCTAGCTCAGTCTATGGAAGCCCTCAG